ACCCGCCTTAAGGTTGTAAAGCCGTAGTAGCAGGACATATGGGGTTTCGTTGGGGAATCTAGGGGCACACGAGGATTGTAAGGGGATTTACAAGGTACTCTAGGGATTGTATAGTGCGGCTTCAAGAAGCTCCCATATAACCTCCGATGTCGTTTTCTTAAATTTCTGAAGATTGAAAATCCAAGAGTCCTACATTAAATCCCAAATTGTGAACCCTAGGAATCCTGTCAACTTCCAGCTGCGCCTTTGTAGCCGAGAAAGCGACATTGGCTCGGGACGCCAGGGCGCTGGCAATCTGTCAACCTTACAGCACAGTTACAGTACATGTGGATTTGTGTCTCACGTTCTTACGGCTGCCTTTTCAACACTCCAAGCGGTCAACTTTTTTGGGCTGGTTATAAGAGGGTTCCAGAATTTTGGGGCATCGAAGGCCGCGGTGATTTTGATTGTTGAGCCACTCACATTTGGGTAGTTGCCAGCATGGCCCTTTCCATCCCCACAAAACAAAGTCCGCAGTATGGCGACAAGGTTTATCATGGTTTTTATATGAGCCCTTTAAATTAAAGAGGCCACCCAAACCCAAACTCCCCCCGATAATACCTATAAGCAGTTGATGACCTTGAAATACATTCCCGAAGACGTTTGACCTTAACCTCTTGAATACTACACCCACAAGCGGAGCTACTCATCTAACGCGTGAACCCTAAACTTAAGGCCCGAAACCCTGAGAGCAAAAGACCCCACTCCACTCCTAACATTTGCACCGTAGACCCTAGACCCTAAACCCTACAGACCCTAAACCCTCTAGACCCTTAACCCCATAGACTAATCAACTGAACCCCACAAACCCTAAACCCGATAGACCCTCAACCCAAGAGCCCAAACTCTACACCCTATAATCCCCCTTTAGTAGATAGAATATGGGATATATGGGGACCTTCTTATAATATACCCAAAGCCATACTCTATCTACTTAAGGGGACTATAAACCCTAAACCCTAACCCCAGTATAGTAATTTCCATTTCATTTTCCATAATCCCTATATAACCAACATAACCCTCCATTTACGTAAGGGGGACTATAAACCCAAGACTGAGTACCTCGCCACATTGCGGAAACCGGGAGCTCGGTCCTGCGATCTGCATCCAGTTTCAAGCAGGAAGGCTGAATGGATCAGAATTTGGGATTTTGTTGTGGGGTATAGAGGGGTGTAAGGGTTATCTGAGGATGATTGGGGGTATGTAGGATTTAGGATCTGGGGTTTCAAGTTTCAGGGTTTAGCGTTGGCGTTCATAGGTCTCCAGGGATATCTAGGGATTAGAAAGGGGCGGCAGTAGACGGTCCTGCCAGGGGTTATGCACTATACAGGGGACCCTTTGAGACACTTTTCACTGCCACAGTATCTCCTTCCACTGTTTGGGCATGTAACAGGGACCCATGCCATCTCCCTCGCCAAAGCCGTCCCTAGTTCATCCCAAGGCTCTCCCTGAAAAGGAAGGAGTGCATCACTAAGGGATCCTCGTAGGCTTCAGGGTTTGAGGATCCTTGTAGGGATTCATGCCCCCATGGGGATTCCAAAAGGGACTTACTCCCGCACTCGTATCTTAGTTTCAGGAATATGTACATTTGGGTCTGCATGCAAGCTGTAGTCAAACTTCCCTATGTAGCCATGAGGTCTTATGCAGGCTTGTGATGCGTCGCTATCAGGAACCCTGCGCTGACCTCTAGGATTCCATGGCATCAGCTCTACAGTCAGTAGTTGATATGATGGTCATCTTGGTGGCTGAACCAAGTTTGATTATACTCCCAAATAGCACTCCAACCCAGGGGAGAACGTATTCGCGGACTAGCCCCAAACCGTACATAACCTAAATCCTAAACCCTAAACCCTCTCATGTAAATTCTATTCATGTTACTATGCTGTCCGGGTAGTGGCGCCCGATGGTCGTTCGATGCACCGTCGGATTCAGAAAAGGATAGGGGTTGTAAGCCTCAGCAATCTCACGGCAAAAGTTGAGCCCTACAACCAAAAGACTAAACTCTGAACCCCTGATCCTAAACCCTAGTTCATGGCGGTGCCACCACCTGCGTCAAAGCCTGAGCACCGGGCCCCAGGACCCGGAGTCTCGAGACAGGTCCTTGTGCGAAATGATAAGATGAGAAGGGTAGCCTTCTGGTTCAGTGCTGGGGATCTAGGTTTGGGGTTTAAGGTTTAGATATAACTCCGTTGATGACGGAAATCCAGCACTGCCCAAAACGAGGAATCATATTAGATTGCGGACCCTGTGGTGCAAGCATTCCTTAATCTACAGTCTGGCCTGTGCCAAAAGCCTGGTCGTTCTTTAAAAGTTAAAATATCCAGAACACAACTGCGCCGGGTAAGTTGGGATAGTCTGTAGTGAGCACTTTGCAGCTTGCCTGTAATCCCTAAACCTTCCACTGAACCCTGCACACCAAACGCCAAACCCTCAACCCTAAACCCTCATCCCTAAACCATAGATCCTAAAGCCTAAACCCCAATCCCGCAACCCTAAGCCATAGACCCAAAACCCTAGACCCCTTGCGAGCCCTTTGAGTGGCGGACTTGCTGCCAGCAAAGCCCAGGACAGTGTGCCCATGGGGTTGCTGAGCGATTTTGAACCTGCTTTGGCACATGGTAGTTATACAAATTGAATCGTGTTTTTTGGGTTTGACATGCTTTGACCAAGTAAGAGAAATACTGCTACCCAAGGGATAGTTTTGCTCTCGGTATCCGGGGGGCATTGTACACCGGGAAGGGGAGTTCCAAAAAAAGGCATCCCTCATTGGTGCCTTCGCTTACTTTATCCTGGTCTGGGGTAGGCTCGCGCAGTAGACCCACATCGATGCAACCCCTGAGAAGTCGACGACCAACTTGGCATGTCGACGATCACCCGTACCTGGCACAGGATGCGCAAGAATAGAAGGCCATGCTGTTGACCACGCACTAGGAATTACAAGATTTTGAAGGTCCCAATGATGCAAGATTTTCTCCATCCATCAGAACAATACATGTAAGTCATCGCACGCCCCTACAGAAGGAATAAAAGCTCTCGCACGAAGGCATGGGGCACATGTTGGCGACGCGTGTGCTACTACCTACTGCGTGAGGACGCATAGAGTTCGAGCCAGAATGGAAGACGGCCATGGACTTCCAAGAACAAACATTCCGAAGTGCAGGGTGCTCTTGCATTGAAGTCTAGGGTGCATTTTTCAACCCAGTCGGACTTGTGTGCCTAGCCGTTTAGGGTTTAGGGCATACAGCTTGAGGTTTAGGATTGCATCGATAATTTTCCATGCTGACACAAATTCTGCAACATGGTCAACTTGACTGACCATGCAGTGAAACCGCTAGACCTCTCAAACCCCCACGTCAGTGGAAGGGCTTGGTACTCATCTTTTTCTTTTTCAATCACTGAATTCGGGAGTATAGTATCCTTCAAAGAGAAATGAAGCTACAACTTGCCATCTTACTCAAGGTTGGGACCTATAAACCCATGAACGTAACTATTCATTCAAGTCATGACCGTTGATGCTAAAGATCATGGAAAACACCAGGGGAGTTCGTCACATCGTCAATGCATCTCTCATTGCACATCTATCTCCAAACCTCTCGTTGTCCATGATACCTGCAGCAGCGCGTCTGCAGAGAACAGCCCTTGCACTCTGCGGGCCTCGTGCCCTATGTGAGCTATTGTCTAAACTCATAGTATCCCCCTTAAAAGCCCCTATAATACTCCACTAAATGATCCCTTATATAACCCCCCTTTAAGGAGTTTAGACTATAGCTCTCATGTGCAGCAGCAAAGAGTCTGGGGTGCCCACCACACTCTTCGGGAGGGCTGTACGGGCCTGAGGTCAGCAACGGCTCTCTGCTGATGGTTCTGCTTGTTTCACACAAGCTTCCCAAACCAGAGCAGAACTGGGCTCAGGTAGACCGTTGGTCGCTCATACTTTCCTAGGTGTTGTGAGCTGTTTTATTTTGGAACCAATCGAATTCCTGGAAGGCTTCCACCACCAGAGCCTCAATGGCTCCATGCCTGAAAATACAAGCATTAGCCCCCTGTCCAATAATCCCGTTGATGGATGAAATCTTGCACCACCCAGGGTCCCCAAACAACTGTAATTCCTAGGACTGTAGGGACTTCAGGAGGTGCAAGACTTCCTCCATCAACAGTCCTAAGTCTGAGTAAGTTTTGAGCAGGGTGACTATCCCATCAAGACTACGACCAAGCCCTAAACCCTAAACCCTAGACCAAGCCCAGCACCACCGGACAGCTTCTGCGTCTCACACTCGACGTCAAGCTTAAGTCTCATGGCCTCACATCTCAGGCACTGACTACCCAGACCCATGATTCTTGGGGTAATATGGGGCAATATGGGGATAACGGAAAAGAAAATGGAAACTGCCATTTAGGGTTCAGGGTTTAAAGTTTAGGTTTACTTGGGGGTACTGTAGACCCGTGATTAATAAACCCCCTCCCTTTAAGGACCTTAATATAAGGATCCCTATTATAATAACTATTTTCAGGGGAGGGGGTGTATGAATCAAGGGTCTGGGTTACCAATGGCGCCCCAGAGAGATGATCCCATGACTACATTGGGGAAGTCCTTTAGGGGGTCTGCGTAGTGGATGGTTTGTAAGGAATGGAGAAAGAAACCCCTACACGAGTCCTGACATGATCCCCAAGGGTTTAGGGTTTAGGCTACAGTCCGTTCCCCGAACTCCCAATAAAAAACCACTAGCTTTTTTTCGACGAATAAGTTTTGGGTCTTGGGCTTGCATTCACAGGTGCAATGCGTGGCCATTTCCGAAAAGTAGAGACTCTGAGATGCCACTGTAGGAAGGTTTGTCTAGGCTGCCCTCCCCAAACCGATGATGGGCTGAGGGACTTCCGTAGGCCGGAATCTTAGCACAAGACTGGTAGTATGCGAGATATTGCTAAATGTGACCTATTGTCATGGGTCCCGAGTTTTTCTTCTAAGCCCTTATGCCAAGGAGGGTAGTACTTGGGGTAGACAAGTGGACCCTGAATTTGCACTCATGCGTCAGAACGGCCTGGTTGCCGAAGATGCGTAAGCATTCTTGCTCGGTCCAGAAGTTCCCGCAGTTGGATGCCCTGGATTGGGGCTTAGGGCTTAGACTTCGAGTTAATCCAGGTCTGGCGAACCCTAAACCCCAAACCTTAGGGTTTACCGTAGGAGGGCAGGGGATTTCAGAGGTGGGTTTTCTTTCCAGGGTGAAGAGGTTAGGGCATGGTAGAGTTGCCCTCGAGGCAGCGGGATGCTGACTACAAGGCCAAAAAAAGGGCGATGCTTTTGAGACATTGCCACAAGACTCAGCATCAAATCCAAAATGCCAAACCCTGCCAGTAGTTCGAGGTTTCATTGTGACCCAACTTCGTACCACACAGATGCAGGCGGACTCCCCATCTACGCGCGAGCAGATCCTTATGTAGCTACCCCCACACGGGAACCCATCTTTGTGAAGCCCAGCTCCTGAACCAGAGGTAGTTCCGCAACGCTTCCTGGTGCCGTGCATAGTCGCCGGCCACCGGCATGCAATACTTTGGGTCATCTTTGTCCCACCATGCCTGTCACAGGTAATCCCCTTGCCCTGGTTAATTGAAGCCCCAACGCCTTTAAGACCGAGTATTCCCTAAATGTATTTATACACACAGACCTATACATATATACTTCTCAGTACATATTCCAGGTGTTGCTCGTGATTAGACCGGTTCACAATTCTGGGGCGATTATTGTATGCCGCAATCGGGGGGCGGCCATGCGCAGTTTGAGAGCTTAGGGTTTAGGACTACCCTCCTACGGCTTCTGCGAACACCTGCGCTGCGTTGTAGAACTTATGCCAAGTCTAGATTACTGCTGATGTGAGTATGGTTACCATTTTCGCTCCAGCACCAAACCCTAAACCCCAAAAGACTCGGGGGGCTTCCATCAACAGAAGGCCCTAATACAGACTCACATCCATTGTAAGCCTTGCTACAGTGAGCCCCTAAGAGGTATACCCGAAACCACAACTAAACCCTAAACCCTCATCCCTAAACCCTAAACCCTAGTCCCTAAACCCGAAACCCTAATCCCTAAACCCTAAGACCCTCTACAGATTCCTTGCCTTGCACATGCAGCTTCCCGTTCTTCCCGTCTCGTCCGTGGTCTCACAATCGAGATCTGTGTCGCAGGTTCTACCAGCCTTTCCCGGGATAAGATGAAAAGAATGCAATTGGTTTAGGGTTTAGGGTTCTACTGGAGGTATATAGGGTGCATAGGGGTTCTATAGGATTGTATAAGGTTTGTATAACGGGATTCTACTAGGGCTGAGGACTCAGAAAAAGGGGCCTAGGATTCATTCCCAGTAATACTGGAAAATGAAATGCAAAATGCACCGGAAACTCGCATGGTATATTCAGGGGATTATGTAAGTCACAGGGCTTGAGTTAAGGGTGTGAAGCTTAGGGGAGTCGCGCTAAACCCTGAACCCTAAACCAATTTTGTGTGGGGCTTTGTGCTTAAGTTGTTTTATCGCGCTTTGTCTCCGCAGGCGAGAGCCACTGGATAGGGTTTAGGGTTTGGGGTTTAAGGTTTAAGGTCATGGGGGCTCAGCAGTCCACCTTAAAACCAGCCCGAAAAGCAACTGAGTGTCGCGGATGCTTAAGGACACATCTCCTTCTTGCTCCAGGCACTCGTGTCATCATTTAGCAACACTACATGAAGGATTCTCAAATGGGTGATCCTCATGGTCAGGACCTTATGACTTGTGGTATATCACAATTTAGGGTTTAGGGTTTAGGGTTTAGGGTCTTTTTTTGCTAAAGTTAGTGCTGGTGCCAGATCCTCAACCTCAACCCCGAATCCGAACCCCTAAGGCCCTGAACCCCAAATCCTGAATGAAGCCTTTTGAAGCCCAAATTCTGAACCCTACACCCTGAGCAATGATCACGAGTACTACAGGGGCCTAAATAACTACGAATGTCATTTTGGTCTATTCAAGATAGCCCATACCAAACTTATCCAAACTTAGGCAGGGAACTTCAGGCTTTCCTGCAGTACAATCTCTCTAAGCCCTCCAAATATAGTCCCCCTTAAGTAGATAAAATGTGGCCATGGGTATATTATGATAAGATCTCCATGTACCTCATATTCTATCTACTTAATTCATGTTCCATCTTTCGTTTCCATTTGCTTCTCCGTTCCTGGCAGCCGTTTAAGATTTAGGCCCCTACAATAGCTTGAACCCCAAACCCCCATGATGTGAAATTTCCATACTCAGGGGGACCGAATACCAACCCCAAAATACTACAAGAGCCTTACTGTGGGGACCCCAGAAAAGGGACCCCTAATGTATGAGAACCCTAAACCCTCAAACCTAAACCTTAAACCCTAAACCCTAAACCCTCCCCAAGCCTGACCATACGTCCTCCTCAAGCCTAAGCCCTAAACCCTAAACCCTGAATTTTCAAGATTAAGCCCTATCCCCTCACCCCTACACCCTCAAGCCTATCCCTTAACCCCTAAACCCTCAAGCCTGAACCCTTAAGCCCTAAACCCTTGAACCCCCAACCCTAAAACCTTAAGCCACAAATCCTAAACCCTGAAACCCCAAACCCTAAACCCTCAAGCCCCAAACCCTAAACCCTTAAGCCCCAAACCCTAAACCCTTAAGCCCTAAACCCTGAACTGCGTAGCACATCTCCTGGAAGCCAGTCTCGGCCGGGCCTGCTTTGACTGCGCTGGCGGAGCGCATTTGCCATCCCTACCAAGCACGGAAAATCAAAGGTCCCTTTACCGGAGCTTGGGATGAAGGGTTTAGGGTTTTGGGGGTTATTGGGTTTAGGGTTTAAGGTTTAGGGTTTAGGGTTGTGGGGCTATAGTGCAGGATAACACCATAATTTCCAAGGTATAAGGTATTTAAGATCATGCAGGATTTTTAGCATGCACCTCAAGGATGTATAGGGTTAAGGGTTTAGGGTCTACTGAGGACTATAATCTAAACCCCTAGTATCCCTCGTAGTAATTCCTAAAGCTCAAAAGTATTATGACACGGAAACTGGGCTCATAGAGGAACTTGGATGGCAATTTGGGGAGTTTAGTTTTGGATTTGGGGTGTCAAATATATACTCAATTTTTCTTGCACCCTCAATATTAAACGTCGTATTTCCGCGGGAAAAAATACGTAATTTCGTCAACCTACCACATTGCTGGCTCTTTGAAAGTGTGAGTTCCGAAGCAGGGGTCCCCATGGGACCTTGCCTGGTCATAACTTGAGCTTTTCACGATGTGGGTTTTGGGGACAACTCCGGCGCATTGCGGGATGTGCGTGCAGTCACGTCATGACATCGAGCTCACGTGACATACATGCATTGCCCGTATTTCGCCTTCGGATTTGAGGCAACTACACAGTTTCGAAACTCCCGGCTTCTGGCATGATGTAGCGCTGCTAGATATGAGGATCCATAAGATCTCCAAAAATGGACACCTGATATAAGAGAACACTCACAAGATGCCTAAAGCAGCCTTTGCGTATTCACTTAAAACCAAATTAACAATGCTCAAACGCAAAGCGCAGCCTGTCCCTCCAGCCGAACTGGCAGAAGACGTCTTCAGCTGCTAAAGCGCCTGCACACCAGAAAATATTTCCAAAATTAATTCACTCCGATAAGAAGGGATTGTAATCTTTTGCAGCGCACAGTCGGAACCGCTACTTTTGGGAAATGCCCCCTAAACCCTAAACCCTAAACTAACTCTCCCCAATCTGGAGGAATCTCAGGATAGCAGCATGCCGCATGCCTGATATCCGGGATGCTTCCTCTCCAGCACTTCCATAACCATCTGAGGGGTTCCAACAATATGAGCCCTTACCCCCCACTAATGGAGAATCAAATGGAAAAGAAAATGGATAATGAAATGGAAACTATAAAAACTGGGATTATAATGGGGTTTATAGGGGTTATACTCTAAACTCCTAGTATCCCCTAAGCCCTAGAGTAGTCCCCTGTATCATCCCCTGTATAACCCCCCCTTGAAGGAGTTTAGACTATCAAAACCATCTGGTTACGGAGTATACTTTACGTCATCAGCGCGGCCCAAATCTGGGATAGATTTAGGACCCCATAGAAGTAAATCCTATGGCTTTATCGGGAATGTATAGGGACTACGCTTCATGATAATTATAAACTATTCCCAAGAATATCCCGGTAACCCAGTTTTCGGGATCATCCTTGGCTGAAGGCCACTCACTTGGGGGTAAGGTCCTAATCCCTAAACCCTCACCCCCTGACCCTATTCTCTAAACCCTAAACCCTAAACCCCTAAAGCCCATGTCCCCAGCCTATTGGAAGGGAGAAGAGCTTCCGACATCGCGGCTGAGGCTCCCCGACGTTACAGCGCATACCGGGCTGACCTAACTCAGCGACTTTAGGATTGAGGGTCAGGGTTTGCGGGCTGAGAAAGCTCAGTGCGAAATTTTAGGGTTGGGGATTTAGGGTTTAGGGCTCTCGGATTTAGGGTTTAGGGCTTCGGCTTCAGGATTTTAAGACTTAGTTTAGGGTTTAGAGGGTTGTCCAAAAATGCGGGCCCCTGTGGGAATGTCTGGCGATCGTAGAGCTGGTTTGCTGTGAAGCAGACGCCTTTATTGGTTGCAAGCACAAAGGAATGAACTAGACCAGGAAAAGAAATCGACGAGTTGTGTAGCGCGCTTTGCGGTTGCCATGACTTGATTCAGGTAGATCCTGCCTCCACAATGCTCCTCCACACTCTAACCTCAAAAGCCTGAACCCTACATCCACCCCCTACACTTGATCCACAAAATTCTGCATGACCTTAACATACTATAATACCAGACTTCCCAACCTATCAAGTACTTATGGTCATGCAGCATGTTCAGTATCCACCCCTATCATGCGTCCTTGGCTTCCCACATTCGCGGTCCTCCGCGCAAGTCATGTCCTCTGTCCGCTGAGCTCTGCAGTACTGCACCTCAGCTTTCCGGGTTGCTGTTAAGGAACTTGGTTCAAGTTACTATATTGGGGAAAACCAATCAACCACTATATATATATATATCCCCACTATGGTAACTTCATTTAAGTTCCCTAACAGCACCTCAGCTTTGAGATGTTACGAGCATTTACTCTACTACACCGTCTCCAACTGTGTTCTCCAAAGAGGAAGAAAAGTCACCACCGTACGAGAGCAAAGGAACAAGTCTCTCTTACACCAATTTGAGGCTGCGAAGCTAATGAGAATGTGTACGATTCCCCCTACCCCTTAGCAACACCCCATTCCCTTCAGAAAACCCTTAAGCTTTATGTCCTTAAAGGTGGGGGGCCGGGGGTTCCTTAAACCCTAAACCCATAAACCCATAAACCCCTTAAAGCCTCAAACCTAAACCCTAAACCCTGAACCCTAAACCTGAACTGTCTGCAGCAAAGCGGCCCAGTAAGGATTCTGGCCCCCAGTCGGGTCTGAGGGGCAGTAGAAACCTGCAAATGTTCTCAAAAAGAAGGTTTAGGGGTGTTTAGGGCTTGGGCCCTAGGGATGAAGGGATTATGAGGGGTTTTGTCCCTTCGGGATCCCTGCAGACATGGGGGTTCTGATGGAGTTTCAGCAGGTATCTCTGAAAAAACCACGTGGGAACTCGCGCCTAGATGAGGACAGTCGAAGTCGCTCTCGCACGTCTGATTGGCGTTGTACCTTAGCCCAGCCAAAGGTTTAGGGCTTCAGGTTTTTATGGTTCAGGGCTTGGGTGTTTAGAGTCTCCGGTTTAGGGGCTTAGGGTTTAAGAGTTTAGGGGCTTAGGCTTACAAGGGTTCCAGAGTGCAGAGTTGGGAGTTTTGGGCTTTGCGGATTTATGGGCTCAGGGCATCAAGACATTGTACCAGCAGGGAGCTCAGCATCTAGAGCCTGAGGTCTGAGCACAAGGAACCCGCATTACTACAGTATCAATCAGCTTATCCTTTTGGGGCTTAGGGTTCTGGTCAATAGGTCCCTCTCTTGATCTATGCGTAGCACCCTCAGTACTGGTCGATTCCTCACTGTTCGAAGACAACACGGTTAAAAACAAAAAACAGAACATCAGAATGAGGAGCATTTGGTATTCAGGGGCTGGAGATTTTTTTGCATAGGGAG